AACATCCTCGTTTCAACGCCCCTTTTGCCCATTCAATTTTATCTAGGAATCAAAACTTCATTGAATCAGAGAATGGAGGGACGGATTGGAAAAGAAATAGAAAGAGGCGGAGGAGAAGTAAGAAGAAGATAAAGATAAGAGAATGGGATATTAATAGTAGCAGGCGAGATAGAGGGAGAGGGTACAAGAAGAGTGACGTTGGGATGGGCTCGGGGGGTGCCGCAAATGATTAGGTAATGTCTCACGAAGAATATGGTGGTGCAGGGCCGGCGAAAAGGTGGGTGAGAGGAAACTTTCGATCGACTCCTGACTCTTCCCTCATTGCATTTTCTCCTCCAATTGAATCCAAATTCGGATTCCGGTCAGCTCTTGAACGAGCCTCTCGTTTCGACGGTGTCTGGAATCTCTCGGCAGCCTCTTCAATGGTGGAAACGAATAACGATGGAGGAAGGCGGAGATAAAAAAGGCTGAGGTGGAAACTGCAGGGAGAGAAATCGGGTCACGGGTCCGGAAAAGTCGGGTTGGGGAAACTGATGTGGTGAGTTTTCTAACGTGGTGGGTCGGATTTCAAATTTTTAGGGCAAAAAATTGCTGATTAGGTCACTCCGTTTGCCACATCAGCACATAACGGATTCAGTTAACAAAATTGGACGGAGACTAACGGAGAGTGACCAAACGTGGACTATTTGACTAATTCAAGCGACCAACATTGGAATTAAATATATCCAGTGAATAAAAATGACACTTTTTAGTAAACTCGATGACCGAACTTGCAATTTACCTAAAAAACGAGGAGTATTAAAAGCCCCACTCTACACGAAAAAAACATCAGCTGGAAAAAAAAGGCTACACTAAAATAAGAGGGGGAGATGTTTATACTTTTCTTCTTATTCTGCATTTTTTTAACACTATGAGGAGAGAAAGGAGGGATGATTGGCTAGCCAACAAAATGCTTATCTCTAGGGGTGCAAACGAGCCAAGTCGAGTCAAAATTTTCCTTAACTTGAGCTCGACTCGTTTATACATATTCCAGCTCGAGCTTGGCTCAAACTCGAATTTTGATAATCCAGCTCGAGATCGACACGATTAAAAAAATTCCAGCTCGAGCTCGATTCGGTAGAGCTCTGTAAATGCTCATTAGCACAACTTGTTAAGCTGAGTACAAGCTCAACTCAAGATAAGCTCGATTTGAAATAATTCTTGCTTAAAAATGTGTACACATAAGAATTTAAATGATAAAAAGAACTCTAGAAACTATAAATAACAACTAACTTCCATACACATCCGTATTAACAAGATAATGTTCATGTTCAGAAGAGTAATTAATCATTCCATAGGCTCTAAACAAGGCAGCTCGCGAGCTTAGCTCAACAAGCCACCAAGTCAAGCTAGCTCACGAGCTTATCAAGCTGAGCATGGTCTAGCTCAAGCATGGCTCGCTTCCTAACGAGTTGACTTACGAACCGGCATGTTAAATAACGAACCGAGTATCGAACGAGTTTTTCCAGATTCGAACGTCGAGTTGCTCGCGAGCGGCTCATTTTCAGCCCTGTTATCTCATATACTCTCTTCTTCTCTTTTTCCCCCTACCACAACAACATTGAGATAATTTCGTGGGCTCACCCTGATGGGTTAATTACAAGAGAATCGTTTAATAATAATATAATAAAAGCGGGGTTTTATATAAGAATTTTATCGGGTAATTTGCAAGTTTGGTCACTAGAATTACTATAAAACTTCACGTTTGCCATTGAAATTAATTTATTCCATTCGTAGTCATTTAAATTAGTTTAACAGTCCAAGTTTGGTCACTTGCCGTTAGTCTCTATTAGTTTTAGCTTATGTGACAGTCAACTCTCATAGTTGACCGTTAAATATGTGACGTGGCAAATAAAAAAAATATATTTTATTTTCCACCTCATTACACGTATTTAAAAATAAAAATATTATTCTCTTAATTTCCTTTCATTATGAGGAAGTGGGGAACGGGCTCTCCTCCGTCAAGGAAGGCCCCCACGTTGGTTGGCATGAATATTCTTTCATCGCCTCTTTGTAGTCGCTGTTATTTTACAGATCTTCCGAACTTAGCTCCCTCTTCCCCTCAATCTCCTGCTCCTACTGGCTGATGACGATCGCCAACTAGGGGTGTCAATTCGGGTCGGGTTCGGTTATCCAAACAGAAACCCGAAACCCCATAAGGACTTGTGGGTTCCGGTTACCCGAAACCTTAAAATACGGACTGAGTTCTATATATTGGAGGTTTTTAGCCGGAACCCGAAAAACCGATAAGCAAAACCGAATCCAAAACTGAAAAACCCGAAACCCAAAACGAACTCGAGCCCGAAAAACCGAAAATGTATATAATCGGGTCGGTTTCGGGTAAACCCGAAAAACCGAAACCGAATCCGAATGGATACCCCTACTGCCAACCACTTAATCGCTGGGGACGGCGACGGCCTGCTTCATCCAAAGTCCAGGAAAGATTTGGACAAATATAACAAAGTAGAGCTCCTCGATAGCTCTAGAATTTGGGGATTGTTCGATTAACTTTGGACCCCCAACCGTTTCTTGTTTCTCCCTATCTTCTCGAACCACAATGATTTTTGCCCCTGCCTCGTCCACATTATGTGCTAGACGATACACACTTGATACCCATGGCTTGCATTTAGATTTCTCATGAATGGGTTAGGTAGAGGAGCTATTTGAAACCGAAAGAGGTTGATTAAGAATGGAATTGTTAGGGATTTTTAACTTGTAGCGATACTAGGAAGGATTTTCAACGGAATTTGGAAAGGCATGTGAGCTTTCTCGCCCCCAGAACCAGAGGAAGAGCAACTCATTGAATGAATCGAGGGAGAACTGGGTATCGGGAGGCAGTGGGAGAAAGCTCGGGATCGTTTCACGAAGTTATTGTTAAGAACGAAACAACAACAAGAACGAGGTTACTGAATCTGGAGCTGAGTCGCGGACTAGGTCGCTTTCTTTAAGACGTTCGCGGCACTGCCCTCGATGCGCACGACAGACTATCAACCGGTCTTCTCTAGGATAAAACAACTCCTCTTTGTACTCGCGGTTTTGTGCGAAAACCGGAGCTCTCTGAACACTCTCTCTATTGTGTTTATGCTCGTTGTGATGTGTTTAGAGGGGTTGGGGAGACGGCTATTTATAGGAGCCGAACCCCTAGGAATATACCCTCTTGCTTGGGGAAAAAGTCGGATTAATTAAGGAAGATAATTACTTCCTTAATTAAAATCATCAGTTAAGATAAATCCTGCGGAATAACCGATTAATAATTAATTATTAGATAATTAATTTCGTTCGGAACTTCTACAAAAAATATATATAGTCTCAAGTGAACCAACCGACCAACCGACCGGTCAGTCGAACGCACGACGCGGGTGTGTGTGGTGGTCCGTTAGGTCCTCCCTCTCCCACAAAAGTGGGTCACCCCAAGGGGCATGCCCTTAGGAGAGAGGCTCCTATCTTTATACACATTTCACCAAGTAAAACTACCAATGTGGTAGTTTTTCCACTTGAGACTCTATAGCTTTCAAAGCTATTCATACATTTCCAACAGTTCTGAGCGAGTCGGAACAGACGATTTGAATTCTTTGTCGTCGTTTGCATCGGTGGTAGAGAGGGTCCGGCACGAGAATCGAAATGACGAGAGAAGTGAGGGCTGGAGACAAGAGAGTTCCGGGTTTTGCATACGGGTTTGCATCATAAGGCGGATTCTTGTGTTCGGGAGGCGGATGAGGATTTCTAAGAGGATCTTCGTCATCTCGCATGGCGGAGCTGCTCCTCCGTTTCCTTCTATCGTGAACCTTGGTCGTCACCATAATATTTTTTATTTTTTAATAATTGTAATGATGTGGAAATTATAAAATATATTAATTTATATTATTTGTAACTGCCACGTCACTTATTTAACAGTCAACTACGAGAGTTGACCGCCACATCAGCAAAAGTTAACAGAGACTAACGATTAGTGACCAAACTTGAACTGGTAAACTAATTTAAGTGACTATAGATGGAATAAACTAATCATAGTGGCAAACGTAAACTTTCATAGTAATTCTAGTTACCAAACTTGCAATTTACCCACATTTTATCCTTCCTATTTTTATATAAACTAAAAAATATCATCTCTTTTTTCCTAATTTTGCATAAGTCTTTCTCCCATCGTATCTCCCCGAATTAATCTCCTCCTTTTTTTTTTTGTTCGTCGTTGTCTGTTCTTCCATGAATAATAGTGAGTCTAGCATGCTATTATTCTTATATACTTTCTAAACTGTTAGTTGGTGACCTGTCCGGTTAATAACTTAATTCATTGTTAACATCTTCACGCCTCCTTTGTTGTCCACATCACCGAAGAAGTTTTTGGAGAATACATCAACCTCAAGTCTATATTTTCACAAGGGTGGAAAAGAAAAGAGTTTATTTTTATTTCTTTGATAAGATAATAGTAAATTAGTGTTTATCAAATTTGGAGTGAGATTATCATAACCACAAACTTCAAATTTGATAAAATAACATATGTTAGATGTTTGTGGTATTGTGAAACATGGTGCTTGTCCTTAAATACCACATTTACGTAATAAGCATTTCAAACTACCACAGCTGAAAACCCAAATGAGTTAGGAAGGCTTAGGTCTTCGTCATCATGTGTACTTGAGCCAACTTGGCACTTGGGAGCGAGGCTAGTTTATAGGCTACTCCTAATTTATTTTTATTTTTTACAAGAAGGGGCATATATTGCTTCATTACCCATGGAAGAGGAACACAAAAGAAGAGGGGAAAATGAAGGTTGTAGAACAATGGGCTGAACTACAATAATGAAAGGAGATTTGAAGCTCATCAAAATTAAGGCCAAAGTAATAAAGCCCACACAAACCCTACTGCTTTTTAAGGGAAATCTCTGCTTTTATTAATTAGTAGATGAAGAACCTATAGAAACATCCTTCCTCAAACAAGAGATTAAAAATACTAGAGGCCTATCTACCTAAATTTCATCTTCTTCCCAGCCACATTCTATATGGGTCATACTATGAGCTGGCTCGTTAAACTAACGACCCACAAAATACCAAGAAACTTGTCCCAGGGTCGAACTCTGTCCTCCTCTTTGTAACCCAACTCCAACTTTGTCCTCCTCTCTTCACTTAATATCTTCTCCACCACCTGGCACTCCGTCTGAAACACACCAGGGAGGAAATGGAAGTGATCTGCTAGCTCCAGCCCATATCCCACTGCCAAGGCCTCCGCAATATCTAATTGCCACTGCCGACGAGTTCTTTTGACTATGGCCAAGCAGAATCAACCTTCTCCATCTCTGATAACCACCCCGAAGCCAGTCCCGCGACCCGTCAACCATGTCGCGTCACGTTGATGGTGTATACAACGCTCTAAGATGTTTTCCACCCCTTCTTGTCTTCTCTCTAGGTATGTTCCTTCTTTAATTGAGCATACAGGTATTCTTCAATCCATCGATCCGCTCTACCCATTATCTCTCATTCCTCCAATTTGTGTTTGTTGGAAAGCTGACAATTTCTCTAATCCTAGATGAACCAGAGCGAGACCAAGAAGCGTCCGATTTTCTCATCGCTCTCCTCTTCCTGCAATTCACAGATCCATTCATCCGAGGTAAGGTTCTCTCCCTTAGTGAACATGTGGTTGATAGGGCTCGATCTCAAAACTCTCTTTACCCACCCACAGTCCCTAAAAATGTATTCTTGAGTTTTCCTAAGATCACAAAACGGACAGCCCTCGCTTCCTTTCTGCCTACATCCCAGAATTCGTGCTCCCGTAGGCAAAATATTTTGAATCCATTTCCAGGTGAAGAGCTTCACTTTGTTGGGAATATTAAGCTTCCAGATCCTGTTTCAGCCCAATGGAGAATAAAATTCTCTCCAATCCTCTGCCTCTCTATTCATCAACAATCTATAGGCCGATTTAACTATGTACTCCCCTGTTTTCTCCATACTCAACTCTCTCTCATCTCTCATCTGGTTCCTGTGCAAAGGGATCTTGAGTATATTGACCCGGTCTTCTGGTAGGAAATATGCTTGCAAGACATCCATTCTCCACGAACAAACCTCATAGTCAGTTACTTCTGCCACAGAGGTAGTTTCCCCTATGATGGTTACGGGTGTTTTTGGCTTAAAACCCTCAGCCTCTGGAATCCACGTGTCCAACCAAATGTGACCACTGCATCCATCCCCCACTTTCCACCACCTCCCTTTTTCACTAGTTCCTTCGTTGACAATAATCCTCGCCAGATGAAACTCGGGTTGTAGCCAATATCACCCTCCAATACTTCCCTATTGTGGTAGTACTTAGCCTTCAGGATTCTGGCTGCTAGGGATCGTGGTCTAGTAATCAGCCACCATAATTGAACAAACCCTACTGTTAAATGTGAATCATCACTCACAAAGACCAGCTGCCGCCTTCTACCATCTCCACCGTCAGCCATTCATCGCCAAAATAGCCAGAAGATTACCAAACACCACCGAGGAGAAGATTCACAGAGTTAAGCCTCCAAAATCCATATCACATTACATGCAAAGGCAACACGAGAGATAAATCCCAGGAATGACCAATAAATATTATAGTTGTTTGCCTTATCTTAATGGTAAGATTATGATATGACAGTAATAAGATCACAGCAAATACATAATTTTGAATGATCAAATTTTTTTCACAAAAAATGAATATTATTATGTAGATAATAATTAATGAGTTCTCTCTATATAATTTTTTAATTTAAGTTATAATGAATGGAATATGTCATTATACCACTGTAATATCATGATGATATGAAAGTGATAATACTACCATCAACAAGAGTTTTAAAGTGCAAATTTTTGTTTTGCTTAAAACATTCAAAAATGGATATCATTGTGTATATCATAATTAATGTGTTCTTTTTATGAAAATATTTTTCAATTCCGAACCCAAATCAACAAGAATATTGGATTAAGAAAAATGAGATTAGTAAGCATATTATTTGACTGATAAAAAATCTTTGCTCTCTCCTTTGAATTCCATGTTAGTAAAAAAATGCATAAATTACCAATCTATCTGTCCTTGTCTTTTAGGGGTCGTTTGCTTGTTGGATTTTAGAATGAATGTTTTAAAATTTTAAAACCTTACAATTTGTGATGGATTTGTTGCATTACGGATTTGAAAGAGTCCATCATTTGTGTTGATGATTTTTTTTTCATGGATTTTAGCATTTTGTACCAAGGGCCCCACATATTTGCCTTCCATCACCCAAATCCCAAACAAAAGGTGGGATTTATAAATTCCTGGGCCCACGGATTTGGATCTATAAATTGTCCAAATCTGTAGGCCCGGATTTGGACCCCAATTTTTTTATACTACATAACAAACAATGGAATTGGCTAAATCCATCAAGTTTGGGATTTGGGTGACAAATCCATCACCAAATCCAACAATGAGTTTTGGGTCATTAGATGACATTTTGATAAACGATTACATATTTGAGTCTTGTAGGATTTTATAGAATAACAAATGTTTGTAATATCATACTGTAGCAGTGGTCCAACCTAGCGAAGTCTAAATTGATAAGCCATTTTTAACAGTATAAAGTGGTTAAACAACGATTTTAACATAAATTTTAATATCACTGAATTTTCCAATATAATGTCTAGTAAGGTTTTACGATCTTATTAGTAAAAATAGGAAAAATACACTTTCATAGCCATAACTTTCGCATTTGTAACAATAATAGCCACTTTTGAAAAAATACCAGATATAGCCACTTTTGTCTAATACTTTAACTGTGTCATCTAACAGGTTGACTGGACTAACAACAACGGTTGACGTGACATATATTATTCGCAAAATAAAGCCAGGTGGAAAATCATTAAAGTTTTATCCTTTAATTTTAATTGAATTAAATAATAATTATAAAATATGAAACAATGATCTTAGTCCGCCTGTTCACCTTCCCATCTTTCGACATCGCCACCGCATCATGTTCTTTCTTTCTCTCCGACAACCCTCAAAAAGACTCCTTTCTTCTTCCCAATTCTCATACCCTATGTTCTTAAAAGAAGAGAAGAGAAGGGGAGGGGAGGGGAGAGAAGGAAGGATAGTGAGATTTTCAAGAAGCTTTCCTCCATTCCCGAAACTAGCAACAATGAGCAGGGAAAGAAATAGGAGAGAATCTCTTGTTCAACCAGATCCTCCGAATTGGAAGGAAAACTTCCTTCCCCTACCGGCTACCGCTCTCTTTCTTTCTTTTTCCCTTATCACGTTTGTCATTCTCTTTCTTTGTTTAATGATAATAAATACAAGTAAGTGAGTTCATTTTATTTGTTTATAATAAATTAGTTATTTTCCCTTTCCTTAAATTAAAGGTTTTAGTAATTATCACTAACGGAAGCCGTAAGTGATCAACGTTGTTTGTTTTTCTTATTTAAGAATTGATGTTTATGGTTAAACATAATTAGGAACAAATAATACGATTAGTAAGTTATAGGCAAATATAATCGTGGAAGGTCTTACTTGATAAGTGAAAACCAAATTTTGGTCGAAAATTAAGTTTGTTAATGCTTCATAATCACAAAACCCGTTCCATCTGTGTCGAATTTTTTGAAATCAAAGTTAGGACGAAAAAGATACAAGTCGGGGTAATCCAATTTTTATGAGAAAATTTTAAATCCAATTAAAATGAACGAGATTTTAAATCGATAATTTTTTTTAATAGTAAACCAAATTAGCAAGAAAGAACAAATTTAATTCACTATTCATAAACAATGAAAACAATATCAACATATAATGAAATTATTTTAATATTATATACCCAATAAAATAACATATCCAATATTATCCATCACAATTCCCAGTACACATTTTCCTTCCCACTTTCTTACATGAAACACCATTTTCCTTTCAATTTTCGTAACCTCCAAATTATCCCTCCCCTCCTAATTCCCTTTCCCTCCCCTCCATTTTCCTCCCTTCCTTCGAGAACATTGTGATAATGACGACCACCCTCAAACAAAACTCTATCTTCTCCTCTCATCACAATCATCTTTTTTCTCTCTTAAAAAATGCACAGATATGGAGAATCGTTCTCTTCTCCGTCGGCTGCGTCCCTACCAGGGCCCTGCTTCCTGACGCGCGCGTGGAAATGTGCTATGAGGAGATGAACTCAAAGGTTTGGATGTATAATTCGGGGTTGGAGGCTCTGGGGAAGGGCGTTCTCGATCTCCTTCCTCAAGATGGAGATGCTTCGACTACGACGACAACGGCGGGTCGCGTCTCTGCGTTAACTTCCGCCGACGAGCTCATGCCGCCTGTTTCCTGTGGTCGCTGTCGGGTACCACCTCTACCAACACCCTCCTATTGTCGTCAACAATCAGCATCACCCTCCCTCATGCCTGAATTCGAGAATCCAGTGATTTTGGAAGCGAAATTGAAGAACTAGGGATCTTAAATTTGGGGGGTTTTCCAAATCTGAATCTCGGGTACAATTGCTTATGCACCAGGAGCAAGCTTATGCTCCTACCTGACCTTGACATAATCCATTAGAAATAAATAAGCTCGTCGCACTCCTTCGCCCGAGCGAGCCCCGAGTTCAGCACTTCGTCGTAGATTCTTGGCAGCTTTTCGGCCAGATATTGCTTTGCAACTCAACGAATCTGAGTTGGAAAAGTGGAGAAACCCCACCAGCCTCTAAATCTCCTCTGAAACTCCACCACCAACAGCAGAAGTCGGCCAATGTGTTGAGGTTACGGATTGAATTAGGAATGTAGGAGATTGCTGATGGAATTTGGGATCTTCTTTCTGTTTTAAGCAGTGGAGAGTTTGTGAGGAAGACATATTTGGTTTTATTTTATTTTTGTTTAAAAATTTATTTTAAATAAAAATAAATTTGCATCCACCTATTATTGAAGGTTGAGTTGTCGATGACGCGTTCAGTGAGTTGGCAGTCTAGTAAGCGTATCGTTAAAATAACTCACGGTGTTACTGGCGATGTTAAAGTTTCAACGAAAATGGCTATATTTGTAATGAAACTTTCCAAATTCTAGTTATAAGTGATATTTCTCCAAAATAGGCTATTATTGTCACAAGGCAAAAGTTTTAACTATACAAGTGTATTTTTCCTAATAATAATAATAATAATAATTACTTCTCCAATTGTTATAAACATGTACACAAATTTCAAACTTAACAACTCACGCAGTCACGATGTCAGCCAACATATTATTATTATAAAATTTAGCACAATTTGTTAGCAACTAGATAGCTACAGCCAAACCATAATTTAACATTTTAATGATCAAACTTCAAAGACTCTTACTACTGCCACAAAAACCACCACAAATCAAATGATACTTTCTCGTCCAATTCATATCTGCCTTGTTTTTCGTGTTCGTCATTTCGTTCTTTCATGACTTCTAATGAGTCTGACATGCTATTATTCTTATTCCTTTCTAAATTGTTAGTTAGCAACTAGTCCTGGTTAATAACTTTACTTCGTTTGATTTTGGTGATTGTTTGGTTGATATAGTTACAATGCATTGTTTTTTTGAATTTTCTGCACAAACAATACATGTATTGTTTGCTTGATGTGATGGAAACTATTACTCAAAATGAGTGATAGTAATATCTCTAATAAAACTTGAGATTATTGAAATAGTTTTGAGAAGATTGTTGGGTTCCTTTTTTGTTCCAATTATACCCCTATTTATATCTCTATGTTCTAATAAAAGTAATGGCAAAAGTGAACTTTCACACAAAAAGTAATATAACTTGTTGATTACTAAAGGCAAAATACACTTGTATAGCCAAAACTTTGACGGTTTTGCCAAATATAGCCATTTTTAACGAAATACCAAAAATAGCAATTTTCGTCCAATTCTTTGACGGCGTGACTTACCGTGCTGACTGGATTAACGGATAATCCGATGTGGCGATTTTCGTCCGGTAAGTATTTTCCACGTGGCTTTTGAATTTTTTTTTTTGAAAAGGGTAGGTCGAACATATCAGAATCCCCCTCTCTCATCCTTTTCATTTTTCCTTTCTTCTACACTCGACAATTCTCTTCCCCTTCGAACCCTACTCATCCGACGAAGACTACGAACAACGTTTCCGTCTCCAGAACGGCGGCGGTGTTCGCCAACGACGAGCGCCCATTTTTCGATCGATCCCGCAACGACTAACAAAACCCCTTTCCTCATACCAGATTTTCCTCCCACCCACTCATCCCACACCCCAAACTTCCTCTTTCGAGTCGGCAGCGATGCATCCAGCTGGTTAATAAAGAGTCGGCGAGCACATTCCGGCGACGCGATTGACTTCTGGTGAGCTCAAATCGACCATCGAGACCAAAGAATCCCAAGTTGACTTCGATAGAAAAAACCCTAATCCTCAGGAAGCTTAGGGGAATCTCGGGCGGTTGATTTTCTGGGCTTCTTCCTTTCATTCGACCGGTGAGTAAATCTCTGGTTGTCGATTTTCCTCTTTTCTCTTCTCGCAAATGTTCGATTGTGGGTGCAGTGTTGTAAAGTTGTGTTGGTTCCTTCATTTTATAGATCGTAGCGGGCCATAAAGGCAGGAAAACGACACAACAAAGGCATGTCGGGAACACTGGTTGTCTTCTTTCTCGAGTTTGCCCTTGAAATCGAAGGTAAGCAGCTCAACATTCTGGGTACAATCGTCATTGGTTTGGAAAACCCTAGGATAGAATAATGTTTATTAGGTGGTTCTGCCTTTGTTGTTTAGTGATTTAAACACTAATTAAACTAGGTTAGTGATTCAATTATGATTAGAGAATTAATTAATTATGGGGTTTACTTACCAAAGTGTTGGTGTGCCTTGTACATATGGTGAGTTAATGGGAAGAGCATGATCCAAATAACTAAGCCAATTCGGGTGACTACTTTTCAGCAAATGAAGGTGAAGCTGCCCATTCTGTAGCTCGACAAATTCACCATGTGTATGACTCGGATGATGCGGACACCTCCGATGATGAATAACATGAAGCAAGGAACAACCTTCGACCTACGGTGAGATGAGAAAAAGGAAGGTGAAGACAAGGGCTGATAGTCATGGGGAGGAGGTGGAACAGTTGGATGAGTTTGACGAGGTGGATGCTGAAGAGGGGGAATCAGAAGAGGAGGTAGAAGAAGAAGGAGGTTTAGATAATGACAATGTAACCGATAAAGATGAAGCTTCTCAAACTCAGCAAACACCTCCAACTGAGCAAGCACGTAGGGAGACATCAAACCATTCGAGTTATAGACTGTATGAGGAGTCTGACCATGTGCGAGGCAACTTATCCGACGAGACTAGTGCTAATATATTCGACACCATACCACACTATGATCCTGTGTGTGACCACAAGAAGTTCCAGTTCGTCGCTCGTATGAAGTTCGAGGATCCTGATCAGTTTAAGAGTGTTGTAGTGCTGCATTCCGTAGCAGTTGGGGCATGTTTGAGGTGGGTTAGGGTTAAACTTTCGAGGTTAGAAGTAAGGTGTAAGGACAAGAACTGCAAATGGCGAGTTTATGCAAGCTGGTTTAGGAAGAAGCAATCTTTCATGGTCACAAAGGTGGGGCTGCCACACTCATGTTCGAGGCAGCTTAGGGTTAATCAAGTGATGCCAAGTGGATTGCCAAAGACAGGCTGGAAAGGTTCAAAAAAAATCTTGAATGGGCATCAGATCAGATCATGGCCGAGGTAAAGTTGAAGCATAACATTGATGTGAAGAGAAGGAGCTGTTACAGGGCTAAGGTGGCAGCCATTAAACTTCTGAGTGGATCGTTGAAGGATGAGTACAAGAAGGTACGGTCATATTTGGGTGAGCTGAAGAAACGAGACCGGGATGGGAGGTTTGTTCTAGAAGTTGAACCACATCCTACACAAGAAAAGGTCTTCTTCCAGAGAATGCTTATCGGGTTCTCCAACATACGAGATGGTTTTCTCTTAGCCTCTCGCCCAATGTTCGGACTAGACGGCTGTTTCTTGAAGGCTGAGGTGAAGGGTATGCTACTTACAGCGGTTGGGAAGGATGGCAATAACCAGATGTACCCAATCGCCTGGGCAGTAGTAGAGGGAGAGAACACCAACTCATGGAGGTGGTTCGTTAACATTTTTCCCCAGGAATTAGGACTAACAGATGGAAGGGGTTGGACAGTTATCTCAGACCGACAAAAGGTTGGTTTTGTTAACTAGTTGCTGCTGTTTTCTTATCTTAGGACTAACAGACGGAAGTGTGTGTTATTTTTCCTGTTTTCTGTTATGTTTGATATTTTTGCTAACTTTTAACCATTTATTTTTGCAGGGTTTAGTTGATGCTATAGATGAGTTGTAGCCAGAAGCTGAGCACCGAAAGTGTGCACACCACGTTTATGCGAATTGGAAAGCAAAGAAGAAAACAGATCAGGTTCGTAAGCTCTTCTGGAAAGTTGTTTATGCTTGTAACGAAGTGGATTGGAAGAAAGCAACAAATGAAATGGAGGCAATAGAAGGTACTGATCTTGGTTCTACTCCTTTCAAAGATTTCATGGATGATGAACCTAGAACATTCTGTCGATCTTTCATGTCGACTGTATCTAAGTGTGATTTCGTTGAAAGAAATATATGTGAGACTTGGAACGGAACAATTGTGAAGTTTAGGGGAATGAGGATAATTGACATGCTATAGGGGATTAGGCTGTACATGATGGATCGATTCCTGATTACGCAAACTATGTTGATGGATACCCCTGATCTGTTATGCCCTAGAATTAGGAAGAGGGTAGAGAAGGAGAAGGAATGGTTTCGACTGTGTATTGCTAGGTAGACCTTGGATGCCAAGTGTGAGGTCAAAATGGGTGTTTCGGGTTACATTGTTGAACTGAATGACAAGAGTTGTACCTGTGGATATTGGAAGTTGAGCGTCGTGCCTTGATGCCATGCGGTCTCAGCAATATCCCACTTGAGATTAGAGGTGGATGATTATGTTCATCCATGTTACCATGCTCACCATGTCGTTGAAGGCTACAAGGTCGGCATCCCTTGCTTAGATGGCAGGCAAGCTTGGCCAGAAGGGATGGGACTTCCAATACACCCTCCCAAGCAGAGGGCCATGTCAGGCAGGCCAAAGAAGAACCAGAGAAAGGCTGCTCACGAGTTAGAAACTCGACCACAAAGGAATGGAGTTGGAGAAGAGGTAACTAGAAGGGGCACTGTAATACATTGTTCGAAGTGTGGTGGTGAGGGGCATAATGCTAGGGGATGCAAGGCTTCCGCTGCTGACTGCCAGGTGAGTACAATTGACCATTATCCCATTTTATTGGCTTTTGATAATCGTATACTAACATGGAAACTCTGCTTTTCCTTTTGGCCTATACTAGAGCAGCTCGAAACACAACTCTAGTAGCTACAAAGAGGCCTACTGCTACTGCAACAGCTGGAATCAATAGTAGAGCCCCTACTGCAGATGGTGGGAACACCTCTCTTGATCCTACTACAAGGAAGAAGAGATTCAGCCATTGTTCGAAGTGTTCTAGTGTCACACATAACGCGAGAACTTGCCCTCTCAACCAAGGTGTCGTTGTACAAGTAAGTATAATATGATTTTGATGACTCAGAATAAGTGTGAACGTGTAGGATGTTAATTGAACAAATCTAAAATGCAATAACTTGTCCATTGTCAATGTGTAGGACATTAGATTTAATGTTGGTGACCGAAGGACGACTGAAAGAGAGATGCGAGTTGCAACAACTGGGGTGGGAGTCTACGTAAATGAGGCTACTGGGAATACTTATGTGAGGGTAAGTATTAGCATGAATGATACTTCATGTTAGCATGAATGATTGACTTTATTTTGCTGGATTCTTAATGTTTGGTTCATTATGATAGCTTTCCGGAGGACGAGGGCGTCCTGTTGGTGG